CACGTGGCCAGAAGAGGTCCTACCAGGGATCCTTCTAAACAGGAGAACCTATGAACAGCATCACAACCATCCCTGGCCTCGGATGACCAAACACCTTCCTAAGTGGTACCTTCTCATCCTTTTAAATGCGAGGAAGAAGGACTGGGGAGTTTTGGTGTTTAAAACTTAAATCTATATCAAAAGCAAACTAAGCAATAACCAATATGTTCTCTTTATCGGTGATTAAATGACAAATGAAGGATATGTACAGCCTCTGTGAAGAAGAGAAATGCTTCCTGACTTAACCTAGCAAATCTCAACATTTCTCCTTTATGCTCAGAGTGCTGGTGGGTCTTCTAGCACCCATGGGTCCTTTAATCCACAAAGAAGCCTCTAAGGATGTCACCCGTCTTGTGTGCCCCAAAGGGGAGTTTCTAGTCAAATTATCCATCTTTAGAGAAACCTCTGGCATTTACTATGTGGACTGCTGTGTGTACATACATGTCACTATGCACAGGATGTGACCATGATAACCCAGCTGTCACATGAGAATGTGTTCCCCAGGAGAGCATGTCTGTCCAAGCAGTCGCTTTGGAGCATATTATTTTGACATTTGGGGCTGCATCTTTGGAACCTGCCTTTCCTCCTAGCTGGGGCCACATTCAGGCATATCTCAGTGATGGTAGGTATTATCATTGAGAAATAGGCAGTTGGTATTTGAAGTTTAATCTTGTGGATAGATTTGGGCTGTTCATCAAAGGGTGATATTTGGGATAGACATTGTGGAAGCATAGGAGGTGGTGAATGTCCAGAACCAAGAATGTCCCTGGTGGCCTCCAGCATTGAATGAGGGCCGACAGAGTGACAGAGAGAGAGGTTCTCAGCCTCTGGGCAGTGGGCAGAGCTTCCGGATCTTTGCATCCAGCCCCTTTTCTGAGCCAAGGTGCAGAGGGTCGACCCTCCTGGAGGAGAGCCGACATCGAATGACCTTTCCTTCTCTCCACTCTGCAGCTTTGCTTGTCACGGAGGAACCCTCAACAGCAAGTACAGCAGGAGGTAACGTTTGTTATGTGGGATCCCTGGGGGCTCATTACCTTTCTGCACCCAGAGGTCCATCTCTGATCCAGAAGAGGTGCAGAAGCTGTAAGAGATGGGGATGCTCAGCTTTCAAGGGTGGGGACTTCTGAACAAGCCCTCAGGTCTGAAAAGGTATCTCTTCCGTGGACCTTGACTCTGAGAGACGGGAGGAATCAACCTGCAGAGGTATCTCCAGGGAGCTCCAAGATGGAGCTTGGTGTTCTGTCTCCAAGAGAGTCTTATTGCCCATGCTCAGAGCCTACCGTGTGGTCCTCACCAATGCATGTTGACCTCTGGTCAGGCTAGGGTCCTGGGTCTCTGGCTGCACAGCCTGCAGAGGCAGGTGCATACCTGTTGAGGGGGCCACCTTGTCTGTGCCCTTTGCTGAGCCCATATGAGGCCACATTGATTTCTTTGCACTATACAGGAACTATGACCCTTCAGCCTGTGGACATCAGAGGTCCCGTAAACCCCCATGGGGGTGCCCCAAGTAGGAGAACTGGGAGGTCAGCCAGTAGAGCCTGAGCTTCTGGTAGCCTGGGCGTGGGGAAGGAAAGCCTCTGTTCATTTCCCTGTGATGAAGGTTAACTCATGGCCATGTTCAAAGTGGCCCCCTGCCCGGGGAGCTGTGGCCATTAGAAATGGTGTGAGTCTGGAAACTGCCTTAGGCCTGTGACCTCAAGAGAGACATGAGGCGGTGTCCTTGTGCCATCCTCATCCCCCTTTGCCCCTGTGGTGCCCCTTGTGTGCAAGGTGTCTGATCT